GGCGTGAGTGCTGGTGATTTCCGCCGGGGGTCAATCACCATCTCTTTTGTCTTGCTGGTGTTCAGGACCAGGTGATTTTTCTCACACCACTCCACAAAGTCAGTAACAACCCCCCTGTATCCCCCCTCGTCCCCCCCAGATACACATCTTTCTGTCTAATGCATGCCAGTGTAATATCTGTGTGTCTACTACAGTGATGGTGTGTTTAAACTATAGCTTAGCACAAACAGTGGAGGCACAGGGAAACTGCTTATCTCTGTTTTCTTCTGTTAGATAGGAGATATCCCTCAGTGTTTTGCAAATTGCAGCTTTGGTGTATCCACTTTTGTTCCAATTTTAAGTGACTGATTAAGGTCAGAAACAGTGAATAAATGTCCTGCCCAAGTCTCTGAGCAGGTGGCATATGTCGCTGAGATGTGAGACTTCTGTTTATTTGAGTGCAGGTAGCTCAATCAGCTGAGGTGGACACACTGTGTTGTTGTTCCCTGTGGATGGGGACCAGAAGGCTGACCTTCAAGTGGTGGATCACCTGCTAGCACAAACAGCAAGATGAGAGTGAGACACAGACCGAGAAAGAGTTGATCTCATCATCACGGTCAGGATGAAAAATTGCCTAACACTTTTGATGCATAGCGTTGCCAGGCCTTCAGAAGCTCAAAGCTTCTCCCCAAGGCCACCAATAGAAACAAAAAGAAGAGATGATGATGATGATGGCCACCTGCAAAGCAAGAAATGCACCAGAGCATAATTTGAAAGGATTTGGGGTGCCGCAGCATGTAGAGAGCATAAAAAAAGAGAGAATAAAAATTCTAACACAAACAACAGCTGCAAAACAAAAATGGCATGCAGCTTTTACTCTCCCTCGCTACATAATGCATGACTAACAAGACAAACGTCCCTGCATTTTTTCTATGAATTATACAAAGGCCATAGTGCCACACAGATTTTGCAGTGTCTAACTGACAGATATGCATTTTATATGTGGAGGGATCACCTGGTGGAGATGCTCCTGAATGCTGTGACGGTGTGCTGAAATGAAGCAGTGAGGGGCTGTAGGAATCTGCACAGCTCAACTTTAACTTCTTGATCTTGAAACAACGTCACATTTTTTAAAATAGGTTTTCCTTAATTGCTGACTAGCAAAACTGTAAAAACTATAGACTATGCAGTCATGGTCTACTTTACATCGGTTATAGCAGCTTCAAGTGCTCAAAACAGGAGTAAACCAACTTTCTTGTAAAGGAGGATATCTGCAGCTCTGTCAAAAAAAAAACATTACTTGATTATAGAGCTTGGTGGTTAGTCCTGTCTGATATGGTGATAAAGATAGCCTTGGAGAAAAGGTAGGTAATCCAGGGACACTTAAAAAAAATTCAGTGGTTGGCAGTTAAACAGAGCTACAGAAAGTGTTGTCCCAATACTGTATAAACCTGGAAAAGATCTAATTTTACCAAATGTGTGTGACAAAGTACAGCTGTGACAGTGAACAAAGCCCCTTTTCATCATAAGAGTTCTGGAAAGCTCATCCAAAATAACATTCGTAAAAAATAAGATGCTTTTTCCTTGTGAAACTTACTGTAAAGCCTCTGAAGTACAGTAGATGAACTCTGGGACTCATGATATGTTGTTTCCTAAATGAAGGCATTAATGAAGAAATTAATGAAAAGTGCTTAGTGAAAATCAGAGATTAAAGATTAAAACTTGTCAAAAATATACTTTATTTTACATTATTTTCAGTTAAGCAAAGGGGCAAATTGCACATTCCTAGCATCATATGTGTATGACAAGAAACCTTGTGTGGTAATGGACCTGTGTTCTGCTCTCAGTCCACACATCATCAGCCTCACAGATCTTATATACCTTGAATATGAGCAAATTTTAATTTTGAAAAAAAAAAAGCATATTTATTGTATTCATTGTGAAATGTATACATTCATCTACAAATCTGCAGAACACCTGTTATGATGAAGAATACATTGTTAAGCATAAATTTCCTTCGAAGGGGTGCTGGGTCTAATAGAGATGGGCAACCATTGTCCTAATAAACTATTTAAAATCATATGTTTATGTAACAAGAACAAAAGTAACTTTTGAGTTTTCCCATTTAGGGGTCGCCACAGGGAATCGTCACACTGACGACTCACATGTTGACATTTGGCACGCGTTTTATGCCAGATTCCCTTCCTGAGCAACTCTGATTCGAAACTGGGCCACACTGGCGAGAGCGCTGCGCCTTAACCACTAGCCAACCAGGGAGGACTGTTTATGTGACAAATGTTTATGTAAAAATCAATATTAACTGTTAAGAGGTTCTGCATATTAGGACCTTAAACTCCTAATCCACAGTAAAAAAAAAAAAAAAAATTAAAAAAAATACATTAAACATTAATGTTTGATGCAAATAGTTTGTTTTTTAGGAACAAAAATTCAATAAAAGGGTTAAGTGTTCCCAACAGAATTATATTCTGGCATAGCAGAGAAGGCACTCGCTTTCAGTTTGACTTTAAATAATGTGGTGTAGATAATGTCTATGACTGGCTGGTGTGTTTACAACTTGTCTGATCATTTAACTGTGCATGTTTATAGATATAACATATGGATTTAAACCAACCTAACTGTACAGTGTTGTTATAACAGGTATAACACATATGGTGAACAAATCTATAAAAATAAAACAAGAGTTCTTATAAACCATAACTGAAAGACTTCTAGACACCGTATGACAACCTAAGAGTTAGTGTTTTACCTGTACATTTTCATTTTCTACACTTGCAACATTTCACATGCACAGCGTATGGAACATGGGCCCGTTAATGTGTTATTACATGTGCGGTCTATGAGAAGTCATGACCCAGACTCTTGCCCAAAGTCTAGTTGAAATGATGAACCAGAGAAGCACTCAAGCGCTTCCTCTGTAAATGGGACAGTACTATCTGATGAAATATGGGAAGAAAATGGCTGCATTGGTTAATAGAACGGGTGGATCTTTTCAGAGCCATTTGTGAATATGACAATAAGACCCACTCTTAATCCTCACCATGTTTCAGCAAGATGTGATGGAATAACAAAGGATCTTGTAAGGGCAATTTGCACTGGCTAAGCAGAATGATTTTGCTTGGCAAATTAGCTCCTCATTTGAGACTTTGCCTTGAGGGCTGATGGAAAATGACAGAAATGTTCCCGTGTGAGCACATCTTACTCAAAGCAAATTTAAAAGATAAACACTCAAGCATGTCTTCAGACTACATCCTTTGGTTTATGTGTGTCCCTTCAAACCTTAAAGAGGTTTCACACTATTTATGTCCTCAGACACAGTAGGTTTTGATTGTCTTTCCAATGATCTTTGAAATTTGCCTTCACACAAACAGAGAATTTTTTCTGTCATCAGTTTCTTTGAGAGGAATGATTACACTGAGAACAATGTTCAGTAATGCATGGCCATTCACGCTTTCTTGCTGTGACTCAGTTTTTTTCTCTGTTCTTTTGTCTTTCTTTCAGTGGCCATTATGTTGAAGGATGATTACTTTGTTAGGGGAGCAGGCCTACCAGGGAGGTTTAAGGCAGAAAAAGTGGAGTTTCATTGGGGTCCGAGCAATGGATCTGAGGGCTCTGAACACAGCATCAATGGCCGGCGTTACCCTGTGGAGGTAAAGTCAATCTACCAAGCCTTGTCATATCCAGAAATGAACCATATCTAGTGGTGGAGATATGCATGTAAATTTTTAGACCCACCAAAAGACTTCTGAACGAAGCTCTGTTAGTCTGGTGTTTATTTAGATTCTATATTTATAGAATATTCAAATTCCAAATTGTGCAAAGTGGGATGAGCCTGGGCAGAATTATCATTAGATGAGCAAGCAGGGCTAAGTTGTAAAGCACCTGTCTATAAAGTGGGCATGTATTAATTAAATGACACATATTGGAAAACTGATACAAGAGTCAGAGATAGCTATACTGGTCTAAAACATACAGATTCAAACCAAATTTCTCAAAAAAAAAAATCTATAATCAATATGGATATCAAAAACAGGTCTTTGGCAAGTTTCTTATTACTCCTTTTTGTGCTGTAGTGGATATGCACCTGCAGTGTGTTTGTGTCTGCGCACATGTGTATATTTGATGCATCATCTTTCTGTCTCATCACTTGCCTATTTCTAGTTATACAGGTCCTGTGAAACATGTATAAACCTGTCAGAGGCCACTGTGTTAAACATCGCAGCTAGTTGAAAGCCAGAGTCTGGAAGCATTTTGACTCTGCAAAAACAGTGAAGGGATTCTTGATAAAACTACAACAGTGTGTAATCATGCAGCGCTTGCATCAAGTATACAACAACATCTTACTATTTTCTCAGAAAAGAGACAGAAATTTTACTTTATCTTAGTGAGAATATTCATTTTGTGAGTTAGAAAAAGCAAAGCAGGAAGCTGTTAACTTGTGTAGAGTATTAAATAACCAAACAGTCACAAATTTCATAGCAGGGAATGCCTTTAGTTTAGGCTGAGAAACTGATGATTTACTGCAGACTGGTCTAAGAATGGGTGCTGCCTCAGAGTCAGCAGGGGTTTATAAACTAGTAAGCTGGGTTCAGTGCTCTTGTGGAACTGTGGAGAGGCATCTTCTGCTGTGGAGCCTTCCTGTCAGTTTGGAGACTGGTGCCTTTATACGAGTACTAATCATCAACAATTTTCCCATGTAAGTTTAACTTGATGAGACCCATTGTTTTCCTGTATTAATCTATCTTTCATATAGGAGGCGCATGCCCAGCCAGGCCCACTCTGTCTCTCATGTAAAACTGCTCTATATTAGCAATCAATTGATCATATACACTTAATAACACATTAGTAGGACCACATTACACTGTGCATATGAGGATGGAACATAAGTCTATCTCTTAAAATGTTTTGATAAATAATATCTCTCAACTACAATGGGTACGGAAAGTATTCAGACACCCTTAAATTTTTCACTCTTTGTTATATTGCAGCCATATGCTAAAATCATGTAAGTTCATTTGTTTCCCTCATTAATGTACACACAGCACCCCATATTGACAGAAAAACACAGAATTTTTGACATTTTTGCAGATTTATTAAAAAAGAAAAACTGAAATATCACATGGTCATAAGTATTCAGACCCTTTGCTGTGACACTCATATATTTAACTTAGGTACTGTCCATTTCTTCTGATCATCCCTGAGATGGTTCTACACCTTCATTTGAGTCCAGCTGTGTTTGATTATACTGATTGGACGTGATTAGGAAAGCCACACACCTGTCTATATAAGACCCTACAGCTCACACTGCATGTCAGAGCAAATGAGAATCATGAGGTCAAAGGAACTGCCTGAAGAGCTCACAGACAGAATTGTGGCAAGGCACAGATCTGGCCAAGGTTACAAAAAAAAATTTCTGCTGCACTTAAGGTTCCTAAGAGCACAGTGGCCTCCATAATCCGTAAATGGAAGACGTTTGGTTGTAGAAAGTCAACCATCACTGCAGCCCTCCACCAGTCGGGGCTTTATGGCAGAGTGGCCCGACGGAAGCCTCTCCTCAGTGCAAGACACATGAAAGCCTGCCTGGAGTTTGCTAAAAAACACCTGAAGGACTCCAAGATGGTGAGAAATACGATTCTCTGGTCTGATGAGACCAAGATAGAACTTTTTGGCCTTAATTCTAAGCGGTATGTGTGGAGAAAACCAGGCACTGCTCATCACCTGTCCAATACAGTCCCAACAGTGAAGCATGGTGGTGGCAGCATCATGCTATGGGGGTGTTTTTCAGCTGCAGGGACAGGACAACTGGTTTCAATCAAGGGAAGGATGAATGCGGCCAATGCATATGTAAAATAATGTACTTTCCTAAATACTTCATTTCTAAAACTGAAATCAGCTCTTGGACTGAGGAATGTGGATTTGCCACATTCAGCTAGTTGCATTTAAAGAGCCCATAGCATGCTTTTCCATGTCTTTTGACTTACATGTATCTGCAATGTTGTAGCTCAAAAAATGAGGTGTACATATGTTCTAGTATTTCTATGCTGAGGCAACTTGCAAACTCTCACTCGCAAGACTTTTTTCCCTAACAAAATTAAGTATTACGTGATAGTTTAAGGATTTCCTTCAATGGTCATAATCTCCAGGCAGTTAGACGTTCATGTGAAGTTGCCTGACCTCCACCGGTGCCATTGTCAAAGTGGAATTTTTCAACTGTGCCTGGTTTTGTGGCTATATTTTCCCTCTTGCTGCTGCACTGTAACCAGAGGATGTGGAGAAAAATACAGGCCCTGAGGTTACTGCATGTCTGGGAATGTTCCTGTACAAGGACTCACTGGTTTGCCTGACTGAGTCTAACCCACAAGCAGCCGGCCTGTGAAGCCCCAGCGGTGGTGAATGATCAGCTCATCAATGCTGGATTCCCCAGGAGCATAGTACCTGTTTGTTTTGACTGTTTGGTGCCAGTGTGTCTGCTGAATGTGATGTGTTGCTGGTTAAAGAGTGGATTAATGACCCATGATGTTATTGTTGGTGCTACGTTACCTCTTGGAGTTAACTTCACTATTTGGGACTGTATGTCAACGGTTGGATTTACCGACCTTGGAACTACTGCACTTGAATGGGAGTGATGCTTCCACTACTCACTGGGACTTAACGGCAAGTATACAAAAACATGTTGCATGTCTGTTAATGCCTTGTTTCTGTAACATTAGAGAGAATTATTTTAAGGCTGGAGGTTACTATGTCGGCATTAGGCCAGTCTTTGTTTAGTGTTACAAATCTCTTTTCATCAGTACATATACTGTTGTTTACCCATCTGTGGAGGAGAAATTCAAATAAATTAATTCTGTTGTGATTCATTGTGCTGTCCACTTGTGACACAACACTGTTTTTAGGAAGAGACTCTGGTTTTATCATTCTGAAATAATTACAGACTATTTGGAGTTATGAGAGGTGCCAAGCTAATATAGAGTTACCCAAGATTAAACATTAAATGGCTGGAGACAAGCAAAATGAGTATGCCATGGGGACTTTAAGTTGGTTAATTTCAGGATATTTTCATCCATTTCTTTGGAATAGTACTACAAACTCATCATTAGCATGGGCTATTACTCTTCTGAATGACACTCACAATAATCATATAAATGTATATACTGTGTACAGTACACATATTTGTCTGCCAGTTCAGTAAAATTTAAAATATTTCATTTAAAAAGTGCATGGTAATAAACTGTAATGCTGTTAGTAGAGACTATTTTGCAAATGTTTTAAATGTTAATGTTCTGTAAATAAATTCAAGAAAAACATTATACAGGTGACACTGGATGACCTCTCCAACTCGATTTTTGGCACAGGTGACTCTTTTGCCATCCAGCTTCAACTTCCATGAACTAAATATACCTCAAGTGTGTAAATGAGTATAAAATGTAGAAATGAGTGTATGTGTATTTTCACGTTGTGTAAGTGTATCTGTCAGTCTTTTGAATATTGAAATGTCAGCCATCTTTCTGCTTAGACCTCTCCTGGAGCACTGCATCACTGCTGTGGCTTGCCAAACAGATGAATATGCATTGTTTGACATTTGGTAGATCACTATGCTGACAGTTCATCTTGATATTGTAATCTTCTCCCTTTCCTTGAAACTCTTTTTCATTTTCTTGGCATAAAGGTGCCTTTGTATCAGTGGCTGAGACAGCCCCATATGGAGAAGATGCATTTGTCCTCACTACTGAGTTTAGAAATATTGCTTACCTGTCTGCTGGTAAAGAATTTAGATATTCTGCTGAAAACACAAAACCATCTATGAATGCATGACAAAGCTTTCGAGGTCTACTGTTTTTAAATTGCTATATTTATAAGATGCCATCACAATTGATTTAGCAGTGAAACATCAGCATGGAAAAGTTTCCATTAAGTATTTTTATGTACTTCCAGTGAAAATCAAGCCTGTTTTCTCACAATGACAGACTATACTGTTTCCCCAGAGACACACCCCTTTGCCATTGTGCCAGTCAATACTGGCAGTAAGGGTCAGCTAAGATTACTCTTTTAAGGGCACAACTGATACTGATATTTCTATGGTGAAGCTGCCAAGAGATGAGAATGTGTGCAGATTTTTGTTTAAATAAAGTCATTTCACTTCCAAATAACAAATGTGATTTGCAATGAAGCCTAGGATGTGCAAACAGAATCACTGTAGATGTGTAGAAATGTCAAGCGTTTTAAAAGTGACTAAATTAAAATTATTTTTTTTACAGCTAAATAGTGTCAGGTTTGCCCGGTGGCACCTTCCTCTCTTCTTTTCCTCGCACTAGCCAGCTCCCTTGCACTGATTACACGATTAGACACACCTGCCTCTATTCACTGATTCTCACCAGCTGTGCCTCGTCAGTCTCCCTCCTTATTTATACGCTGCTCACCGATCAGTTCTGTCCAGGCAAACCAGTTCCTCTCATCCCCTTTAAAGAGCAGGATGGAAACCTGACTGAATGATGACACTGCTGCCAGGATGAGGAAATGTATGAGAATAAAGAATTTTTCTCTGTATCTTCTTCTCCTGCCAGTGTTATACTGCATTCCTAGATTGACAGTGACAAAACTATTTATGTTAAAATACTGCACATATCTATTGACTCAGTAGTCTGCTGATATC